GAAATGATTGAGGACAAGAAAAATAGAGTGATGTGATGTGGGGCCCTTTAGGGCACAGGAATTGAGCAGGCTCAATGGAGGAGAGATTTGCTCAGTGAGTGACTGCAGATGTACTTCCCTTGCACTGGAAAGGTCTGCAATTGTCTTCTAAAAACAGGTAGAAAGAGATTGCCATACATTTACAGTATTTAACACCATTCCTTATGTACCTTAGGGTGTTTCCGTGCAAATTCTCATCCATTCTCAGACCACTGTGCATCGACATGATGTATGATCCATTCTGCACAGGGGATAGGACACATCCTCCATAAAAGCAAAGATGTCACAAATGTGTTCCTTTTTTTGTTCGTTTGTTTTGTTTTCTTTGACTCATCTTGGGGGCAAAGCAAAGGGACTCAAAATGATGAGGTTTTCTTAAGGGTTCACACTCCATCCATCCTTCTCTCAAGCAAGTGGCTTGAAAAAGCAGGAGATGAGTTTTCTTCACGCATCTGCATGTGGAGGGAATATTATAGGGGCAGAACAAGCTCAAACACAACCTTTAGGACCTTCTTGTACCCACTACTCCCCACATGAAGTCATCTGCTGTGGATTTGTGCACCATACTTTGCACAGTTTGTTGCTCCCAGGCTGTGAGTTGCCATCCTTTTGGAGACCGAGGGATGTGTCCAGCTTGTAGCTTGGATAAGTCAATGTCTCTCAGCTTCCCACAGAGGAAAAACAGAGAGGAACTGGCTCTAAATAACTCCAGAATGAGCTCAGGAGGGCCAGAAGATAACTGAAGGGATGAGTCCACTTCCTAGCAATACCAGCCATCTGTTGCTTCTCCTCTGAGCCCCTGCCTTCTTTGAACTCAAATACACAAGTGCACTTTGACATAAAAAGGCTTTAGGACTCTGAAATGAGGAGGAGAAGGAAGAGAGATTTTTTTCTCACTTGAAATTTTAAAACCACCTCCATTGTGCCAACCAAAGGAGCTGTGAGTGTGGGAGAAAATAAATGTAATATTGTAAAAACATCTGAACTGTAGGGATATTACACCCATAAAAAGACAGACCAAGCTTATAAAACTTTAACAGCAGCAGTATTAAACATGCAGAGAAGACCAATTGAGAGCAGAAGGGAGAGCAGTAAACAAAAGAAGAATGTGGCTGGAGGAAATATGCAACAAGCATGTGGCTTAGCACAGGTGATCTGGGCATCAACCCAAAATGAACTAAATACTGTGAGGCCCCAATGTGAATTTCAATGCTTTGTCCCATTTGTCAGTGGCAGCCATTGGGTTGGGTAGGGGGTAAAGGAAATGGATGCAAATGCTGGAATTTATGAGCTGGGTGAGTGTGGATATAAAGAAGGAGCATGCTGAGTCAAGGAGAAAAGATAACTCCAAAGTGATGTATTTCCACACACCAGGACCACTATTTGCAATTGCAAGGCTGGCTTCTTGAAGCAATCAGGCTGAAGGCTGTGGATAGGACAAGAGCCAACATGGCAGCTGGGGTCAGGGAAGGAGCAGGGAGTGGGGACAGCAATGGGTCACCCAAGCACTGCTAAATAGATGTGCCAGCACCTGCTAAATCCAAGGAAAGACAAAACAGGATTACTAGCTATAGTCTGCACCTGACTTGCTCAAGTCAGGGCATGGGAGACATGAGGTCTGTCTGGTTCCTTGCTGCCAAGCAGAAATGCGCTCATTAAGATAAGGTGTTGTGGAAGAGATTTAGTCTGGGTCAGGAGCCAGCCAGTGGGTAGAAAGCAGGATGTGCTTAGAAGGGGATTTAAGAGCTGGCAGTAGGTTCCCAGTGGAGTTCATCAAGGAGCTGTTTTGGATGCTGTCTTAATTCGTGTTTTCTTTAAAAGACCGGAGTAGAGAGAGCAGGGATGACGTGAAGCTGGGAGTCACTGTGAGAACTGATAAGGGCTGGAATATGATGTAGGAGGAGCTGACTGCCCTTAAGGATGAGACTGAGACAAATGGGATGTAATTTAGCAGGAAAAAATATGCTGCCATGTACTTGGACACTAGCATCAAGAATTTCTGCTAGAAGTTGGCAGCTTATCCACAAAGCAGCAGAGATGGATCACTCAGGCATGAGATGGCTCAGAGCCACAAGCATCTTGTGGCTACAAAAAGGCAAATGCAAATGGAGGTGGCGTCAGCTAGGATATTTCCAGAAAGGCCTGGAGAGTGAGGCCAGGGGCTATGGACTCACAGAGGCCGTGCTTGGGTCCATGCCAGCGCTGCTGGGATCTCCTCCTGTGCCAGCCCTGCTCTCTGCCCTCACCTGATGGACCCCAGCATCTCTCCACATCTCAGAGCTGTGTGGGACCATGCCTGCCCCCACAACTTCTCCGCTAGGCAAGCAGAAGAGTTATTTAGGCTTGAGGACAGAGTTGGCCATTGAGCAAATGCCTCTAAACTATTCCTTGACTATGTTTAGATGAGAAATGACAGAATTAATGACTGTTGGAAGAACGTAATGCTGAGAAGACCTTCCTGCAGAAATCCTAGGGGCAAAGTGCTGCCTAGTTTTAGGCTGGAGCTTTGTGAAGCTATGAAAGGGATTGCATACTATGACTGCGTGTGACAGAAGAAGATGTGACAGAACAGCCCAGAAGATCCTGTCTAGTCTTATGATTTTAAACACATTTGCTATAAGCAGAATCATCAAAATCAATAGAGCAGCATGCAAGGGCACACAGATAAGCACTGGTATTAAATGTGCACATAGAATGAATCATGGCCAGGATTTAGAGACAAATTAAAAATGGTTTATTTCAGATTTGTCTTTTGAAAGCTCCTCCATGATCTTGAGAAGAATTTGGAATCTCTAGGACAAGGTAAGAAAAGGAAGCCAGAACAGACAAAGCCACTGCCTCAAAATGAATACTTTGAAGGGCAGCGCAGGTCTCTGCTGCACTCCTGCAAAGGCAGTGCTAATGTAAACACAGCTCCTGCCTGTGTCAACTGTCCCACAGCCTTGAAAGGACCTCTGTTCCTTCCAGGATGCATGGACTGGCGGGATTCTTGACCTCTGGATACTCCAATTCAACTTCTGGCCCCCTTGTGTCACACCATTTTGGAACACAAAACCAGACCAGCCTCTTCTGGTTCATTAGTCATACAAGGTGTTGACAAATCAAGCAATTTCAGGAAGCCACATGAATGCTACCTTCCTCAATGGTCTGCCCCCAACACAAATAGAATTTTTATGGTGCTCATTTGGAGTCAACTCCAATTGGCATCAAAGTTCCAATCACACCCTTTTTGAACAAAACAGATGGTCACAACCAAAAGGGCAGTGACTAGCTTTACTCCTCACATCCCCTGAGTGAAGCCAACATGTGTTGAGGTGAGCAACCTGAGAATGGTGACGATGGACCCATCTAAGTAGTAGTAGTGTCTCTTGTGAGACATTTTCATTAGTACATCTGCTGTCAGAGTGTGGTTTGAGAGGGGACTCTCTTCCCTCAGTTGCCTCCCACACCCCACTTCCTGAGGGTGCCCTGATGGTCAGCCTAACCTTGCCTTAGGGACAAATGTGAGGGTATGCTGGGGACTTGAGGAGGAGAATTTCTGGGATTAGTGATTGCACTGAAAATAGCAGTTGACTTTTCCTGTGCTGAAGAATGGTTTTCAGAAAGCCTTAGCTGTCCTTTTATAAATGTGTGATTTAGTTTTTTTTATTCCAACAGTGACAGGACTGTCAGAGAAGGAGGGGTAAATGGAGAGTAATTGCTATCTCATGCAGGAGATCACCTTTTGCCTCAGGGCTGCATTTTACTTCCCTCTCTACAGTTTTCTCTGGAGTTAATAGCAGAATGTCTTCAGTCTTAATACACCAGGATGCTAAGGCCCCTACTGAGCATGACTTTCCAGCGGCACTAAAGGTTGTACTTCTATTTGTCTGCAAAGGTGTGGAAATTTGCCCCTCATCACACCCCCACTGCCAAGCTGACAAAGCCACCAGCTCCACATGGCATTGAGGAGCTCAGCAGAGCAGACCTCCAGATCTCCCAAGCCTGTCTTCCCCATGGGAGTGAGATTGGTTAAATACCTACCTCACTGCTGCTTGCCCTCTCCTACCTTGCTGCTTGCCCTGAGGGTGCAGGGTAGGTGGGAGTACAGAGTGAGGAATGAGGAGACCTTCTCAGAGCTTCTTTCTAGTACTGGCCCTAGCGTGCAGGTAATGTAAGATCAGGGACTGAGCATCCAAGCTCACACAGCATTCTGTCTTGTGGCAGCTGGAAATAAACCATGACCTTCAGGGAAAAGACATAGACTAATTCCACTCTTTTTTACCCTTTTAAAGGAGTTTGCTTTTTTCCCTAATGAGTGGGAGGATCAACTTAAAAGAGAGCATCCAACTCACTCTGGCCTCTAGATTACTTTTAAAGAACTGGTCCTATGAGAATCTTTCACTCACATCTGTCTCCTGCTCTGCCCAGTGCAAGGCAAGAGTCTTCCTTCCCTCCCCTCCTCCTGTCTGCAGCAGAACCTGACCCTCCCTTGGGGAGCTGCCAGATCCCCGAGATATAGTCTTGAGTACTGCATCCAGGCCTAGGGCCCCCAGTACAAGAAGGATGCAGAGCTGTTAGAGAGGGTCCAGAGGAGGACACAAAGACCTGGAGCACCTCTTCTGTGGAGAAAGGTTGAGGCTGCTGGGCTTGTTCAGCCTGGAGAAGAGAGAGCTCTGGAAGACATCACTGCAGTCTTCAATACTTGAGAGGAGCTGATGAACAGGAAGGCAGATAGTGATCAGACAAGAGGAAACGACTTTAAACTAAAATAAGTGAGATTTAGGTTAGATGTGAGGACGAAATTCTTTCCTCAAAGGGCAGTGAGGTGCTGGCACAGCTGCCCAGAGAAGCTGTGGTGCCCCATCCCTGGAGGCGCTCAAGGCCAGGTTGGATGGGGCCCTGGGCAGCCTGAGCTGGTGGGGGGGGCTGGGGCATCATGGGCTTTGAGGTCTCTTCCAATGCAAACCATTCTGTGATTCTATGATTCCAAGTGATGGCATAAGGGAGACTAGCTGTTGGATCATGGGTGCTGGCATGGAGGTGGCCAGGTGGGCTGCCTGCTCCTCTTCCTTTCCATGCTTCGTCTGTGTGCCTCCCAGCAACGATCTGACAGGTAACACAGGAGAAATTCAATTTGCTCCCCTGGCCTGGGGGGTGACAAGGAGGTGATAGGGGCTGAGAGCGACCCCAGGGAAAGAAGCCCTCGGCTGAAGAGGTGCAGTGAGGCGTCAAAGTGGGCAGGTTCAGACCAGGAGCATGTGTGTGCTCATGTTGTGAGGGTCATTAATCACCAAAACTGCTTCCCGCAGCCCTTAGGTCAGGACAGGCTGCTTTTCCCCAAAATTTATTGGATCTCCAGGGGGAGTTCTGGGCTAGATGCGCAAATAATAGGCTGTGTTCTACCAGGGGTCATGCTAGCATAATAGCTCCTCCCAGTCGCCAAATTTATGGTTGGTGTCAGGGGGACAAATAACTCCTCCAGCAGGCACTGCATTCCAGAGGGGGAGCTCCTGGGGCACAGTACACTTGCCTGGTGCAAATTTCTACTCCCTGTGTGAGTGCTTGTTCCTTTTGTGCAGGGACTTCCAGTTTTCTCCCCATGAAATGACAGCAGCAAAAGCTGTAAGGGGGAGGAGAGTGTCTTTGTAAAGTGTTAACCCCGGGGGTAAATCTTCAACAGGATGTGCACAGTTTTGGCTGTGCAATTGTCATTGACGTTAATGGGAGTCATGTGGCTAAATAACTGTACTGGAAGCACCCTGGTCTCCAGCTGCCTGAGCTAAAAAATAAAGATAATAAAAAATGCAGAGGGGAAGGAACAAAAAGGTTCTGTTCTCCCACTGCAGGAGGCCGAGAGACCTGTGGCAGAAGCAGAAATGTCACTCATTCCTCACCCATCACTGCACAGGGCAGCAGGGAATAAGCATTGGCGATGCTGGGGGAAGGCCAGCAGGTCTCTGGGCATATGTTAGTATAAATTTTAAATTAGAACCTCCGAGGGGATGCAAAATGACAAACCCAACCATCTGTGGGGTGCTGGCTGCCAGCAGAGCAAAGTGTCGATTATTTCCCATCCGCCAAAGGATGCAGCTCTCTGCAGCCAGGCAGATGTGCGCATCTCTGTCCTTGCCACACATGGGACCCGGGGCTGAAGCAGGGCTGGGGGCACAGCCTCCGAGAACAGGGCACTAGTGGGTGCTGTTTGCAAACCTCCTTCAGTGGGGAACCAAGTCCTGAGCTGCCTCTTGTTTTCCCTCCTAATGGATGCAGCTTAGAAGCATCACACAGTTGAGGAGGAGATGGCGTTTTATAAACCGAGCTCTTGGTGCAAGCGTGTGTAAATAAAGCAGCCAGTGAGGGTGTTTACATTAGCACTCATGCTGGAAGTGCTCAGGCTATCTTCCTTTTCAGATAAATTAGGGACCAGGTGGGGCTGGGAATATAACTTTAACAATTACTGTTCTCGCTGCAGTCTGGAAGATGAGGGTTGTTCTCTTCCATGGAAAGCTTTATTCAGCAAAAGTTTCACTTGGTCCAACCACATTTTCTATATTTGGGGTTCCTGCAAGTCTGGGCACGACATAAGTGCTGGTGGCTGCTTAATCAGAGGGCCCTGATGAGGCTCAGTCATCCTAAGCCCGTCATCAAGGCCATGAGTCATGTCACAGGTGGGCTCCAGAGAGATTCAAGGACAAGATGCTCCATCCCAATGCATTCAGTGATAATATTACCTAGAAGAAAATACATTCCAAAGAATAGTTTCTAAATCCTTATATCCCACCTCCTCCACTTGAGCCAGGGCAGCCATTTGTTTAGCTGCTTGGAGGAGCGGAAGATGCCTTTTTTTCCCCACCACCTCCACTTGAATTGTAGAATAAAAGAATATCCTAAGTTGGAAGGAACCCACAAGGATCATCAAGGCCATCATGACTGAGAGTGGTGACCAGATGCTCCTTGAACTCTGTCACTTGGGGCCATGCCCACAGCCCTGTGCACCCGTTCCATGCCCACCGCCCTGTGGTGCAGACCCTTTCCCTCCCCCCCATCTGCCCTCCCCTGACACAGCTCCATGCCGTTCCCTCGGGCCCTGTCGCTGTCACACAGAGCAGAGCTCAGCGCTGCCCCTCCGCTCCCTGTGAGGAGCTGCAGCCGCCATCAGGCCTCCCCTCAGCTCCTCTGCTCTGCGCTGAGCACAGCGAGGGGCCTCAGCCGCCCCTCACACACCTTGCCCTCAGAGCCTTCCCCATTTTTGCAGCCCTCCTTTGGATGCTCTCTAATAGTTGTATGTTCTTTTTGTACTGTGGCATCCAAAACTGGATGCAGTACTCAAGGTGAGGCTGCATCAGTGCAGTGCAGAGCAGGACAATTCCTCAACTGGCTAGCAATGCTGTGCTTGATGGATACATCTGGCCTTCCTGGCTGCCTGGGCACACTGTTGGCTCATGTTCAGCTTTCTGTTGACCAAGACACCCAAATCTCTTTCTGCAGGGCTGCTCTCAGCATCTCATCCTCCAGTCTATACATGTATCCAGTGTTGCCCCTTCCCAGGTGCAGAATACAGCATTTGCTCTTCTTAAACTTCATGCAGCTAGCAATTGCCCAGTTCTCTATTTTGTATTGATCTCTCTGCAAGGCCACTTTACCCTCAGTAGCTCCTCCCAATTTACTATCATCAGCAAACTTGCTCAAAACACCTCCTAGTCCTATATCCAAGTCATTTGTGAAAGCACTTAAGAGAACTGGCCCTAAAAAGCAGCCTTGGGGAACACCACTAGTGACTGGCTGCCAGCCTGATGGAACTCTGTTTACTATAACCCTTTGAGCCCAACCCATCAATCAATTGTTCACCCATCGCCTTATGTTTTTGTCTAGCCATATGCTGGACATTTGGTTCCGAAGGACATTGTGAGAAACAGTATCAAAAGCTTTACTGAAACAAAAAAAGGTAACATCAACCGACTTCCCTTGGCCAACTGGATGGGTGATCTTGTCAATAAACGAAATTAAGTTAGTTAAACAGGACCTCCCCACTGGCTTGCTATCTACCCAGGCTGGACACAAGAAAAGCCTTTCCCCTGTCTGTCTGGAACAGCCATACCCCCTGGGGAAAAAGGGTTTGGGACAACAAGTGCTGCTTCTTTGATGGTAAGCCAAAGGAAAGGCACAAAGCACATCTAAAACCAGCTGTGGAAGCAAGGATAGCCACATGTGATTGATGCTCAGCTGTTGATGTGGGTGGATCACTGGCTACAAGCAGCTGTTTGAGAACTGTGTGCACCCATTGTGCCCTGTAGCAGTGGCTGAGGGTCAGGAGGAGTTTTATGGCAATACTTTTCATACTGGTGAATATTCATTTAAGGGTGTCTCAGGAGCAGCAGCATTGCTGCTCAGTGCATGCACACCCTGGGTTTCTAAAAGCCACTTCTTGGGAGAATAACATGAAGACATATGTTTGTACATGCCGCAGGGAAGCAAGAATGCCCAGCTGTTCACTTTATGGTCACAGACCCGCTGTTCCTCTCTCCTTCTTTATCAGACTGAGAACAAAGGAAACATTTCCGCCTGCAACCTATTATTTGAAATATTTGAACTAACTCTGGTGTCAGCATTTCAGTAGTGAGAGGTAAGGAACACCACAGCCCAACAAAACAAGCTGGAAACTTGAAAATAAAGGGTTCTCAGCCTGGAGGAAGCCTGTTTTGCTAAACAATAAACAGGCATGAAAGTAACTCTATCTTATGCTGCATGTATCCACATTAGGGCATGTTCTTATACATATGCAAAAGCATGAGGCCAGCAAAGCAAACAGAACGGATAAATTTATCTCCTGGGTATAGTCTAGGACTGCACCAAGATCTGTGCAGATTTTATCACTGATTTCACTCCACGTGGGTGAAAGTAGAAGCTCTGATCTGGGAGCTTTGCACTGCTGAAAAGGGGAAAATCTCTAAGGATGCAGCACTCACCTTTAGCCTCAGGAGGACTGAAGATGTCAGAGGCTGTCACAGAGTGCAATTTATTTTATAGCACTCATGTGACAGACACCATCTCCCCAGTGAGCCCTGAACATTTAGAGCCCAGGACAACTAAGCCAACTGACACTGAAGGCAACGGGATCTGAAAAATTATTCCATTAAAAAATAATAAATTAAAATGTTAAAACTTCCCTAAGGATAGGCTTCAGCATGCCACGGGTGACCTTCAGAGAAACATGGGAAGCTGCTCCCTCAAGCAAGGAGTAAGGGGCACTGATGCTTAGCACGAGCTGCACAGTGCTGGTCCTGCTCTCTCACTTATGCCTCTTCCACTGCTCTACGGCTGAGCCCATGGCAGGCATGGGAAATGTTTTGGTCTGAGAAGATAAGGCATTTTAGTTGGATGCTTAACACCTTCCACCCAAGATTTCAGTGTAATACAACCTTGTGTGGCACATAATCTCCCAGGCAGGGTACCGTACAAGAGCTGTACTCCTCTCCACCTTCTCCATTCCTTCCCATCCCAGCCAGGGGTGACAAGAGCTCAGGTTCCTCAAGCAGAGCAGAGAAACACCTGAAAGGTTGATCTGGATGAAACTAAACTCCTTCTGGGCTTTCACTAGAGGGTCTTTGTTCATAGAAACTCACTGGGAGCTCGGGAGGTGGCCATTGGGTGGTTGGTGGCTACAAATCTTTATGTGATGGAGACTGTCACCAAGCCACCTGGCCACCCCACAAAAGCTGTGCACAGATAGAAGTACTGCCTTTGGGGCTCATGTCTCCACTGGCAAAGGGAAACGGTGTTTGTGCCATGTATCAAAGAGCCAAAATTTTCTTGACCTTCCCATTAATTTTCTTGAACTCTTTTCTTGGTCAAGACAAAGAAAGGTTTTTATTTGCATTTGACTCATTCGGTAGCAGTCTCACTAGCATAAGCTTCTTGTTTTGTAGATGAAAATGTTTGTTTTGTAAAAATCTGTGGAAGTGGCAGGCTCAGAAGAGTGAGCGATGGCTCTCCTGCCTCCTCACTCATCTCTTTTCCCTTGTCAAATGTGTGGTGGCACTGAACGGGCATATCCAAGCAGCTATTGGGTAGGGAGAAATATCCAAGGTGAAAGGTTTGGCTATTGATTGAGAAACCGATGGCAATCTTGAAACATTTGACTTTCCTCCGCTTTGTATTGACTTTCTCTTTCCTCTTACGATAAAGGTAAGAAATCATTGTCTGCATTTCCACTGAGACAGTTCAGCTGTCAGCAGATCCCAGTTCTTCTGGTTTCCTCCGCCCTTCCTTTTTCACAGATTAGCTTCTCACTGAAATGGAAAATTGTCTTCAGATGATACTGGCAGAGGCAAAGCTGACAGGAAGACAAATCAGGCAGTGGGCACAAACCATAAATATTGTTTAATACTTATTTCAGTTTGTGTTGCCTGACTTCTGGAAAATTATATACAGCCTTAAAAAACATAGCTGCCAGTGAGCACATGTGATGGTCTGTCAAGGGTTGTGCTTATCTCTCTATACCAAAGTAAAATGTAGGCATCCTCAGGAAATGCACAGAGAGGCACTGGAGCAATGTTTGCTGGGTCTTGCAACTAAACTCAAAAAAAAAAAAAAAAAAAGACAGTTTTCAGCCTTTCAGAGGTCGTAGGTGCTATGAAGGGGTATACAACTTTGGAAAAATTACTAAGCAGACAAGTGTGAACAAAATTGCTGCTCTTCATCCTGTTTTCTAAGATTGCATGGACGTCAAGGCCTCTTAACATCTAGCAGAAAAACACCAATTTAGCTAGTTGAGGCTCAGAACTGACTGCAGCGCTGATCATTGGAGGAACTGAGACTCACCAGGTGAGGATGAGTAGAATGCCCTTCATCAAGGACTGGCCTCATATGGGTGTAGAGTAACTTGCATGGTGAAAACAAGGACAAGAGGGAAATTACAGTGCATTGAAGTGATCTCAGTCACTCACACTCCCTCAGAATAATAGTTTCAGTAAAGAATAATTCCAAGTGGGACCATAAAATAGAAGAATCTATAGGTTAGGTGAAAGTCTTCCATGAGACCAAGCTAACCTCTATCTTTGAACACATTAACTGATCTTAAAATATTTTTAGGCCTATCTTAAAATGATGTTTTCACAATTGAAAGAAAAGAGAATGAACACTGTTGCACCAGTGAGTCTAGAAGAAATATACAATACACACTGCTGGTCTTCCAGTGAAGTAACTTGACCTTAGGCAGGCACACAGCAGCATCTTATGGCATCCTTCTTACAGAATGTCTTAGTTTCAGCTGGAATGGAGCAATTGCTTAATTGCTTGTGCATCACTTGTTATATGGATTTATATATATATATAAAATCATGGCTATTATCTTTTTCCTTTTTTCTGTCTTAGAAAATATTTTTATCTCAACTTAAAAGTTCTGCTTTTTTTTGTCCTGATTCTCTCCCCCATCCCACTGGTAAGGGAGGGATTGAGCAAATGACTGTGGTGCTGAGCCACCTGCCATGTTAAACCACAACAGTTATGAGACTTGTCATGGGGATTGGACTGACCACAGGACTGGTTTTGAGTGCTGCAGCATCTGCAAGGCCTGTTGCAGGAGCTGGAGCAACCACAGGGCCTGTTGCAGAAGCTGGAGAGACTACAGGTCTCAGCCATAGTCTACCTCCCTCAGGGGGAATGCTTTTCTTTTTCTTGTTGCAATACATGGAGCAACCATAGGACCAGTAGCAGGAAAAATTGCAGGGTT